ACCTGTTAGAGGGGCATCGCCAAGCGTCCCCGGAGCAGCAGCAGCTGCGCCAGAGCGAGCACGGAGCAGGAGGAGACCGTTCTGCACCTCATCCATGAGAGCTCGCTGCCAAGTGCCAGAAGCCACCCCCTCCCCCAGGCCCAAAGTGGTCCCACAGCCCCAAAAACCACCTCGCCTGCCGGGCTCCGGCTTGCCTGATCCTTCGTGGTGGTGAGGGACCCCTGGGAAGGACTCGGAGTGCCTCGACACAAAATAAAGGACCTGGGAGAGCACAAACCTCCGCGACAGCTGGTCCTCCTGGGTGCGGACTGAGCTCTCCCCAACAGCCGAAGCGCCCTCGGGGAGCTGGTTGAGCTGGTCCATGATCTCTAGGCCGTTCTCCTCCGCGATCTGGACGATGAGGCTGTCCACCTGCTCCTGCGGCGTGGTCAGCGTGGTAGCAGAGCTCATGGAGTCCTCCATGACCTACAACAGGGACAGCCCGTCACCCTGGCCCATGGGCAACGCCACCCGGGCTGCTTTCCTCACGGAGCCGGCGGCAGGACCCACATCGCCACGAAACCCCCCCCCCCAGGCCGGCCTCCAGCCTGGCAGCAGAGCCACAGCGGAGGGGTGCAAGGTCCAGTTCTGGGGGGGTTTCCCACACCGGAGGGCTGGAATCTGTTGAGTGCTGCTGCGGAAGCCCGGGGTACAGCCGGGACCCAGCATGTTACAGCTCTCAGACACCCCCCCCACACAAGCCCACCCTCCCAAACCCAGCAGCTCCCAGCCCTCCCAGACCCCTCAGAGGCCACCGGCACTCACCGACGTATGAACATCCAAATTCTGAACCTGCTGCTCGAATTTATCCATAACCGCAGACACCTTCTGCAGGTCCATGGAGCTCAGAGCCTTGTCCAAGGCCTTGGTCACCTGGGCCATGTTTTTCGTCACCTGCAAGAGGAGATGGCTTCACAGGTGCTCCCCAAAAGCAAGGCGCGTCGCTGCCGAGAGCGAAACTCAGGTCAGTGAGAGATGCCGACGTTTCTGATGCTCACAGCAGCGCTCCTGGCAGGATGAGTCTCTGCCCACCACCCTCAAACACCCCATGGGGCAAGAGGCCCTGGGCACAAGCCCCTCTCCTGCCTGTGTGGGCAGAGGTGAAGGATTTAACTCGGGCCCCCAAGGACGCGGCCTCGCTGTGAGCCCATCCCAGACAGGCTGCACCAGAGCGAGGGGTTGGAGCTGACTCCAAAGCCTGGCGGGATCCTTTCCGAGAACGGGCAAGTCCAAGGTGGTTCGAGGCAACAAGAGGAGAAGAGCCAACGCTTGCTCTCTGCAGGGCACAGATGGGTTCAAAGCCCCGTGCCCCACGCAGAGGATCTTACCCCCTTCATCGTCACGGCCGTCTGGACCTTCGAGGCCACCGCGTCCACCCGGGAAGACATGCGGAGCCAGTTCAGCCCCTCGTTCTTCTTGCGGATGGCATTCTCCGCATAGACACGAGCGCACTCCACGTTCTTCTGCTGAAGGGCCTGCAGGGCGAAGGGCAACTGCTTGCACGGAGAATCCACTGGATTCCTAAATAAGTGCATTCTCTTCCTGCCCGGCAGGTTTCTGGCAGGAAACGGCTGCCCTGTGAGCCTCAAAGCGCTGGGCACGCCCTCTCCGTGCCGCAGAGACACACCACACCTGCCTGGCAGAGTCGGGAGCCGAGAGTGGGACTCAAAACACCCAGGGGCCGCGCTGCCACGTGCAGCGGGGCTGGGGAGGGGAACCTGCCTCTTCCCCTGAGGAACACAGCAGGAAGCAGGATCTCCAGCTGCCCGGCACGGCACCGAGAGCGGGCACCGCCAGCCTGGCAGCTCCTTACCCACCTTTTTGACTTTGGCTTGCTCGGCCTTGGAGTCTTTCTCGGCTTTTTTGGCGAGCTTCTCCAGCTGCTTCGCTGTGAACTGC